TTGCTGCTCAGCCTGTTCCATCTGAAAGCTCAGTTATCGGCACCTCGAGAGGTCTTCCGGGTGAGCAGGCCTCACAGACAAGCCGAATAATCTTAATACTGATGGTTCAACGATATACTTGTGCCAGGATTTAATCCGGAAAATTACCGTACGTTTTCAATTTTAGAAACTGGTGCTTCTGTCTGTAAAAGAACAGGTGCACAAATCACTTACTGAACTCTGACTCTTAGCCTCCGTGAAATGCTCCTTGATAAATGCAATTCAACAATGATACTTGTGACTGGTTATAATAAGGCTAAGTTTTCTTATTGCCAACCCCATGGACTGTCAGTCTTTTATTAGTGTTTTTTGTAGACAGTTATTGACAACGTTCATCAGATGCGCAGATACAATTTGGAGGAAAAGTTCGAAAAGTGACTGAGTTATGTCAAGTTAGACATCAAAATTGAGGCAAGAGAATCTAATGAAAGAAGCTCGCTGAAGTATTAGTCCTCCTACCCCAGGATTTCTCTTCCGCCTGAGGTAGCTCAGTAATTCAGACTTCCATAAAGACCTCAAACTGGATAGGAACCACCTTATTCTTGTGGCTAAGGGCAGAACATGCGTCACAAAATGTAAACTTTTCTATTTAACTCCACCTAACTGCTGTTGTCTTGTGACAAGTCATTCGGATCACGCTCGTCGAATGACGTCCCTAATTATCTTTCTATCATTGCCATGGCAGTATTTTGGCTATCCTACAAAATAGCCATGGTTGTAGGTCATGGTTGTACGAGGGCTGGGATACTGCCAGGGCGCCCACACCTAGACAGGAGGACGATTAGGGTCCTCAACCAAAGCCTTTGACTCAAAAGCCTAACCGCAAGACAGCGGTGTTTGGCGGGAAATGCAAATGCATTACCATTTCTACGGAACAAGTTGCCACATGTTCCAACCCCCAACCTGGAGGGCCAGGAGATTGTGTTCGTCAGACCTCTAACCATTGACCATCCTGGTATGAGAGACTCTGTGAGTGTCGCGGGACATTCTCCAGTATAGCTCAATGGATCACTGAGGTGCGCAAACCGTCATACCACGGTAAGGTCCAGTCTCTTCGTGACGGAAGCCATCCTGTATAACAGAACGATTCGTGGATGTCTCGAGATAGCTCAGCAGTTAAGGCCTAGGCTTGTCGACCGGACTGTTCACGGTTCGAATCCAGCCACTGCATCTCAATTGCTTTTGACATTACCTCAGCTCTCGTGCCTCCGTCGGGTGGCGTGCCAGCTAGGAACCGAAAGATTGTTGCAGTTGAGCAATTTGTTCTTATTGCTGTTACGGAATCACCGTACACTGACTAGCTCGAACAAAAGCGCAGAGAACTCGGAATCAGTTACTGGCTATCAACTCGGAGACGTCGCACTGGAAAGCCGAACCTCTCTCTGAAGAGGTTATCTATGGGATAGATCATAATCGGTTTCTTCTGTGGTGGGGATCATCATAGCTCCAAATAACCAAAAGCAACACCTTTTTGAGCGGTCTATTCGTAGAGATAAACCGTATTTTCCAGGATTTGAGATCACCGGGTTTAGTAATTCCTCCTCAGTCCTCCTCCGGGTGATGAAAACCCAGTCTGGATTGTCTGCACTTTTCAAAAAAGGGAAACGCTTCGACCGTTACTCCAATTATCAAACGGAACGCAAGAGAATGATGCAAAAGCCAACTTGATATCAGCCTGGCAGCCGTACCATCCAGGAGGCTCGCTCGTGTTATACTGCGCAGGTTGATTAATTGATTACCGGAAGAGAGGATTAGACCAGCTGAGTATGAACTAGCTGTCTTCGTGATCTGGAAGCTGGTTTGGACTCTGTCTATCGTCAAAACTTATGGCGCCAACCGGTGATAAAAAATTTCCCTCCTAAATTTGTGTACCTCCCGTTTGGCTGTAGCACCATTTCGATGCCGAAATGCCATGCCACCCGAAGGAATAAAAATAGTGGCAGGTTGTCTCAGCCTAGACAGGATCAGTCGCGATCCCGCGTTTGGGTTCGAACCACGAACCCCTTAACCTCTGAGCTACCTCGAGCTCACTAAATGCATATCCCCTACAAATTGTCATATGTACATGCCAGACAGGTACGGAGTTCATTTCTGATCATACCGAGCGATCCCACGAAATACAACGTTACTCGGAGTCGTTCGAAAAAACGTCATAGGAACGTCATAGGAGGGACGTTGGTCAAAGATGTGGTAATCAGTTGTTTTATACCACCTCCTTGCGATACCGGGATATTACGGAGACGGGAAGCAACTATGATAAACGAGGGATTCGGTTGAATCTGCCAAATTGATTTTCAAATGAATGCATTTGTCGAAATCAGTCCGATTTGGGTTCAAGTAGAACGAAAGGTTGACGGTGGGAACTTGGGGACTGCGCGCCTACCTGATGAGCCCGAATCGGAAGGACGAAACCGGTCGTGGACTGTTTTTCCGCAACTCTATGAGTAGTATCCTTTTTGAGCTTACGATCAAAATTTTTTGGCTCTAAGAACACTCCATCTGGTCAGTTTTGTCTTCATGGAGCGAAATTTGTGTGTTCCATGCAATCGTTTTCCTTTGGGTAAGAAGCACTGGTCTTCTGTGGTAAATAGTGGTCTGTCAAAGGTACTTGTACCTCGCAGCTTCGCTGGATTGCTACAAGGAGCAGTTCAGTTCACCCTCGTGTCTCAGTACCGATGAGTTTTGGCAAAGCATGTATATCATACGATCGGAGGTGTTACTATTATTGATGGTAGTTGTTTTCCAGTTGATTCCTGTAAAACTGGGGGCGAGATGGACCAAGTGGTTAGAGCGCGAATTTACTGACCGGAAGGTTCGAACCCGACCTCTGCCTCTCGACTTCCGCTGTCTAGGTTTGGGCAACCTGGCAGTATCCCAGCCCTCGTGCTCCCTTCGTGTGGCATGGCAGCTAGGCACCGAAAGGTGTGCCCTCGTGCCCCTTCGTGTGGCATGGCAGCTAGGCACCGAAAGGTGTTACAGCTGAACGATCTCTCGATCGATCTCTTGTACCTGTAAAACTACCACCGTCCGGCAAGATGACAGATTGACTGATACACAAACCTCTCCTATTCCATCATCTTAGACCCATGCGACGTAGGATTTTCTATTCCCTCAGTAGATTATTTTTGAATAAATTTTATGAGATTTCCCATTGACCCATGCTGCATGTAGCCGCGTAGCTCGTTCGCTCCACTTTCACCATATCATTTGGAATGTTTTTTTCTCTCCGATCACTCAGGTCGTGAATGTGGAATTCTCCGAAGCGAAGCAACGCGTTCTCCTCACGGGAATCCACTTTGTAGCCGATGTGTTTTGTGCCTGCTGTCAGACTATGCTCGGTTGGAAGTACGAACGTGCGTTCGAGGCCAGTCAACGGTACAAAGAAGGAAAAGTGATTGTCGAACTGGCCCATCTGATCAAAGATAATGGTTGGGATTGGGACTGGATTAATCCACCACGACGAAGCCAGTCTGCATTTTCCGCACACTCGTCTTTGTCCAAACCGGTTGGTGTCACTGATGACTGTCCGGGATTCTTTCAACCCTCAAAAACCCTGGGCGGTGGTCGTTTGGTCGCCACGTCTGTTCTACCGTCCCACTGTCATTCAGCGCCCCAGGACAACCCATTCTTGCAGACCGTGATCCCGCCACGCGACGGTGGCGCTGGAACGTTTGCCACTCCCATCTCACTGTCTGCGTTTCCTTCTACCTCCGTACAACCTCCAACGGCTTCGTGGGGATTCGGTGACAGACAATATTCGACTGCTTGTGATTCTGCTCGGTCGGATGGCTCTTTTGGTTTGGATGCTGTGCACTTTCGTACTCCTGAAGAAGGGAATTCTCCAGCTTGTGAGATTCACATCCCTGCTGGTGCGGCAACCGCAGCTGCTGGTTCCGTGTCCTCCATTGCAAGACCATTCCAGTTTGCAGAGTCCAGTCAGAGCACGAAGGAGTCAGATACACAATCACCAAGACGAGCCGCAATGGAGGTAAGCGTGATCAACCATGTTAGATGATTTAGCTTTACTGTTGACATTCATCTAACGACTATAAATCCCCGTTTGATATGCGCTCGTTGCTTTAGTAGTGGGAAGCTGTGTTGACTTGTTACTGAGGCACGATTGTCACCTGTTTATGGACAGTTATGTCTCAGCTGTAGCACCCTTTCGGTGCCTAACCGCCATGCCACCCGAAGGTTGCACGAGGACTGGGATACTGCCAGGTTGCCCAAGCCTAGACAGGGGAAATCGAGAGGCTGAGGTTGGGTTCGAACCACGAACCTTCGGGTCAGTAAATTCGCGCTCTAACCACTTGGACCATCTCGCCGCCAACTGCAACGAAAACTAGTCAGCTCTTCATTGCTGCGTTGATGCTGCTTCTGATCATTCGTGAACAGTAGGATCGTCTATTTTATCTGTTTATCGATCCTCACGAAGAATCTGATGCAGTAAAACGCACTGAAGGGGGGTATTTTTGAATTCTCACTGAGACCGTTTTCCCTAGAACTGACCGGAAAGTTCGTTGTTGCAACCCGACCTTTGCATCTTGACTTCCCTGTTCAGACTTGGGCAACCTGGTAGTATCCCAGCCAGCCCAAGTGGCATGGTAGCTAGGCACCGGAAGGGTGCTACAGCCGAACGGTTTTTTCCCTAGAACCAGGAATACTCCGTACAAAGGCCTAGAAATCCACCTCAAACGGACTCTGAGTTGCTAAGGTTTTCACCTCGTATCTCCCCATTCCGTCTCATAAACTTGTAGGCACTTGAGTTCAGGCTGCTAACACTAGTTCGTTAGTGCACTGAGTGAACAACAAACACGCTACCAACCGATTCACTGTGCTTCACGACGGGGCTCTTTCCGTGATTGATCATCAGCTGAAACCAAACGCGATAACCTCATTTGCTTGTGCGTATGTGATCAAGATTTCTCAACTTATTCTTCTCGGGTGGAAACAACTGCTCTGGGTTTGAACGCTATGCTCTTTTGCGATCTTTTTTTCTCTATAAAATCAGTCGATGCACCACAAAGAGCTTATTGGTTGGAATAATCAATGTCATCATCATCTCCACCAGTCAACACATACAGGTGATTGAGGGAAATGAGATCCGAAGAGGGACCACAGTCTTCTATTCGGACGCTGAGTTGTTCGAGTGGAAACATGCAGTTCGAGACACCACATAGCATCCCTGGGTCACTGACCCATGTGTCGATTAGGCAGCCTACACGGGAGAAAATTTTGGCTTTCTCAATGGGTGTTCTTTGTCTAAGGGTCTTTAACCTAACAGCATGTAATTTAACTGGATGTCTATGGAGCCGCCACAATTAGGGCTTCGGGGTAGGTCACGTGAGTCATGAGTTATCAATTACAAACCGCTCAGTTCAGAGCCCTGCGTAGCAGTGCGCAGTATTTATAAACTTGAGTGGCGTTCATGTATTACCACGGTTGCGTTTTTCCTATCCTATGGTCGTCCAAACACGTACAGATGCTAATCTTTTATCGATTTTCGATGCCTCACGTGACCGGACAGCGGGGCTGTCAGCTGGTATGCCAAAGCAGCGTGGTTACCAGATGTTTTTTTATACCCTCCAAGGTCGAAATGCCGTCTGCTACCATCCATTTAGCATGCTAATTAATCGACTTAGTCCCGGTAATTTTGTTTTTTTTTTGGATAGTTATCGTCATTTACCATTCTCGTATTTTACTGTCGTGGTTTCTGTATGACAGAATATTCACACTATGGACGCAGTAAGCTGTAGTCGATTTGGATTCATTGGTGGACTAGCTGGCTATCAGCGTTCGTGTTAGAACGCCTTACGTTTGGGCATTGTTTTGCAGAGAATAGACTCTATCGCGGTTTGTGACCCACTGAGCTATATCGGGGGGGTTATTCGGACGCCTACAGAGTTTCTCATACCAGGCTGGTTTGACCTGGTCCCTCAGGTTGAGGGCCATGACAAGTTGTTCCCCAGAAATCTTGTACTACTCCAGTAGTACACTGACACCCACCCGCTGCATCACGATCAGGCTTTTGAGCCCAAAGGTTTAATTGATGACTCTAATCGTCCTTCCGCCTTGGTGTCGGTGCCCTGACGGTATTCCAGCCCGTATACAACTTACAACAGTGAAGCATCAATGCCAATATTGATGTTGATGCCTGTCTGTATAGATTGTAGTGAACCTCGTATACTTCCGTAGGCTGTACCGACGTCTCCACATGCAACTATTTTCTAAAGTCTTTGGTCCACTCAACTTCTCACTTCCACTGCCCCTTACAGCTGACAGACTACCGTGCCACTTCTCCAACGTCTCATTCATCTAGACTGTTTCCTCAAATACAACTCGGCGGACACAAACGTCGTCGAAGGAAGCGAGCACTTTTTCAACGAAGGGCCTCTTCGTCCTCACCCTCGCGCACCTCCTTGTTACCTCTAGTTTCCGATGAAGATAGTGACGAGGAGAGGGCGGCTAATTTCGGACGGATGAATCAACTTGAATTTTGTCTGACCCCTCCACCTAGACTTTTCAGCACTTTGCCACATCCAAAAAGCTTCAAAGACTGTGGTTAATTGTACGGAATCGCGTGTAGACGCCAATCCAACCGATAGCACTACCGTTTAACTGTTTGCACTCTCTGGCGCTTTTCAAAGCATTGATCGCGCCAACCGCTAGATGCTCAGATTATTCCCATCCTCTCCGTTTCTTCAGTTTTTTCCTTGGTATTGCTGTTTGCCTTGATGCCTGTGGTGATAGATTGTAGTGAACCTCGTATACTTCCGTAGGCTGTACCGACGTCTCCACATGCAACTATTTTCTAAAGTCTTTGGTCCACTCAACTTCTCACTTCCACTGCCCCTTACAGCTGACAGACTACCGTGCCACTTCTCCAACGTCTCATTCATCTAGACTGTTTCCTCAAATACAACTCGGCGGACACAAACGTCGTCGAAGGAAGCGAGCACTTTTTCAACGAAGGGCCTCTTCGTCCTCACCCTCGCGCACCTCCTTGTTACCTCTAGTTTCCGATGAAGATAGTGACGAGGAGAGGGCGGCTAATTTCGGACGGATGAATCAACTTGAATTTTGTCTGACCCCTCCACCTAGACTTTTCAGCACTTTGCCACATCCAAAAAGCTTCAAAGACTGTGGTTAATTGTACGGAATCGCGTGTAGACGCCAATCCAACCGATAGCACTACCGTTTAACTGTTTGCACTCTCTGGCGCTTTTCAAAGCATTGATCGCGCCAACCGCTAGATGCTCAGATTATTCCCATCCTCTCCGTTTCTTCAGTTTTTTCCTTGGTATTGCTGTTTGCCTTGGCTGTGTATAATTAACTTCCCCTAAACTCTTTCACACAAATACTACCCACCCAAACCGCCCCACCCTCGCCCTACCGCAATTTCTCAACACCTTTGGCACTACCATTGGTGAACCACAAGCCCATTTTGTCGTTGAGATCGTCCCACAACTCACGAATCGCTTTCATCCGTGCTATACGCTCCTTTCCATGCAGCTTGATGCATTTATGGCACACGAGTTGCCGTACTTTTAACCAACCCCCCACTGTACTGTGATCAATCATATTCAGAGCATTGTCTGATGGCCACACCATTATCATTGTTATTGTTGCCAGCTCAGTATTCTCATTTTTCGCCATCTTGTTCTCACTTGAATCAAGATAGTTCAATGGCGACTCACTGATCACGATATCCGTAGTTTCAACTCGTCTTAGCGTCGTTTCGAAGACTTAGCGGTGTTCTGCCAAAACATGCAAAAGCATAGACGTTATTTTCAATCGTCATTGCATGCCGAATAGCCGAGAAGCAGACTGTACATCTGTTCCACCCTTACTGGGAACGCATCATCAGCAACGCGAATCTCACGAAACTCCAGCTGGTTTCATCATCAAACAAATCTGTACACATACACATGCGAAAACAAACACAAAGAAAAAGCAACAGACACAAAGTCATCCCGTCCTTTGGTATGCACTTTGCACCCGCATAGTGTGAGGTCATGCTTGTGGACGTGCGGTCACTGAACACGCCCCTTACAATCCAGGGAGAGGCACTGGAAGTTGTGGAGCGTTTTACGTATCTTGGAAGTTGTATTAGTTCTGACTGTAGTGTGACAGATGAGGTGAATGCACGAATCTGCAAG